GAGGCAGCAGGCCGGGCCTCAGCACAGGCCAGCGGCAGGGCAGGGATCCAGGCCTTGCAGCCCTGGCTGCAGCCATAGCCAAGGGCAGGGGCAGTGTAGGGAATGGGGCTTGTAAGCTCTGTCCTAGGGACAGAGGTACTAAGGAATTGCGGACGGTGCCTAAGGGACGTCCAGGCCTCCGGAGGTTGAAGCGCCGCTTTCCTGACTCTTAAGAGAGGGCTAGAGGACTGGAGGGAGTGGACGGGAGAGTGAGGAGGGAAACCACAGGCGGGGAGGCGAGGTTCTGACAGCACAGGGGACAGGGGCCCTCAGGACAAGGGCCGGATTCTACTCAGGCAGCACCCCTGCCCAGTCCTGACACGGAGGAGTCACTCTGCAAATGTCAAACCGGCGAATGGAAGCAGAACCCAAGGCAAGGCCACCCACGTGTAAGGGACATCACATCTCAGGTGCCAAGGAGCCTCTGAGGCCGCCTCAGCAGCTCTGTCCTCTCTGGAACAGGGAAACTCTTCCGTCAAACACTCTGCCCGTGTGAAGTGCCAAAAGCATTAGCAATAATAATTCCATAATTTAAATATGAGGTTCATATTGAAAACACAGGGCAGTGTCATAACTGCAGAACTTTTTAAATTGTAGAACTTAGGGGGAAAAATTGGTGGTGGGGAAGGGACGCAGGACTGGGGATCCAGCCCAGAGCCTGGTGCACGCCAGACAGATGCTCAAGCTCCGAGCTACATCCCTAGCACTGCCCACCTCCTTTTTGAGACAAGACCTCATTAAGTTGTCCAGGCTGGCCTTAAGCTTTTGATCCTCTGGCCTCAGACAAGTGCTGGGATCAGAGGCATGGACCACCATACCCAGGAAGAACCTAGAACTTTTAACAGGCCTCCAAGCCATGAATCTCCAGTGACAGTCAGGCTCTCCCGGGCATATTTGCCCACCAAGTGCCCTTTAAGAGGTACCTGTGGCTGTCCTCAGAAACATCAACAGCCACCGCCGCACCACTGCAGAAAGACGGGCCAGGCTCCGGCCTCCTGCTCTAAAATATAAGTCATACGCAATCAAATCTTGAAATGCCCTCAGTATATAATCTACACTGCCTCTTGTTTTACAGATAGGGAAACTGAGGCAGGCCCAGAGACAGAGGCAGGTTGCCAAGACAATGCAGCACCTCTGCAGCCATTGGGACTTGGCCCCAGCCCTTGGGCTCCAGGCCAGCCTGAACTGAACTCCTCGTTCAGCAGTGCTGGGTCCTGGGTTTCTGTATCAAACCCCAGGCTCCACCAAGCCAGGGCCTGGTCTCCACCACCTCTCGGCCCCAGTTCCTAGCCCCATGCCGCCCCTCCCCAGAGGGCACTGTCGCAGCACGGGGACATTCAGGGCCAAGACCAGGAAGGGCTTTCCGGCAGCGAGCTTTGGATGAAGACAGGAACAGGCAGTCCCCTTCGGTGAGGGCTTCCAAGAAGAGGGCAGAGGCCAGGCTGCCCGAGGCGGCACTGGGCACCGGCCCCAGCTTCCTTGTTCCCGGAGAGGGTGGGGTGGGAGAGACGGAAGACTCAGGTCCCAGGAACGGCCTCGGAACGGCCTCCAGCTGGGACCAGAACAGGGAGGGGCAAGAGCCCTGGATGGGACCGGCCCAGGACTCAGGCCCTCCACCTCCAGGAAGCACTCCAGCCTGCCCCGGCCTCCCGTTTTTTCCTCTCTGGACAGAAACAGAACTCAGGGAGATGACCCTGGAGAGGCTAAGACCGAGGAAGTGGCAAGGCCTGCCCTCAAGGGGCTGGGGCAGGCGGTGTGGGTAGGAGGTAAGGCAGAGAGGACAGACCTCCTTGTGTTCCTGCTCAGGAAAGAATTCCAGCCACAGCGCCCAGGAGCCCTCGCTGAGCCAGGCTGCCAGCAGTGATCAGGCCCCGAGCAGGCACAGAGGACAGGACAGCACCCCAAGGGGAGGGCCCAGCAAGGGCAAGGCCTGGCCGGAGAGGAGGAGGCCAGAGACCCACGTGGCTGCACCTGGTGTCCACGGCAGGGGACAGAGTGCTCAGGGGCTGGACTCAGCGGGAAACCCCGGGCCCAGTCCATGCCTCGCCATCATTACCCGAAGGAGCCCGGGCCCATCACAGAGCCTCTGTGCCTCAGTTTCCTTGTGAGAATAACACAGACCTATCATGAGGGTGTTAAGAGGACAGAGTCAAATAACAGGCACCCTGAGCCCGGCCAGGCCCCAGAGAGGCCGTGGAAGCAGCCTCCCCACTGCTGAGGGGTGCAATCCCCTCAGGAGGCCTATCCTGAGGGAGGAGGTCAGCTCATAGTTCCCTGGCCTGACAACAGGGTTGACAGGCAGATTAGGAACTGCAGAAGGAGACCTCGAAGTGACAGGCAGCTCAGTAAATGCCCACAAAAGAGAACTGCGGTGCACAACCTCCACACCTCCAACACAGGCCCAACACCTCCTTTTTTCTTTTCTTTTTGGTGCTGGGAATCGAACTCAGGACCTTGCATTTGCCAGGCAGGCACTTATGCCACTGAGCTATATCCCCGACCTCCTTTTTTCTTTTTGAGAAAATGTCTGACTATGTATCCAGGCTCCCTTGAACTCAAGGCAATCCTCTTGCCTCAGCCTCCTAAGAGCCAGGACTACAGATGTGGGCCACATGCTCTAATTTACATCTACTGAGCAGGTGCTAAATGAGGCTCTTTGCGTGTGTATGCTTATTTCTCTTGCCCACTTGGGAATATAATTTCATTATCAACATTTTACACAGCCAGGCGTGGTGGTGCATGGCTGTATTCCCAGCACTTGGGAGGCTGAGGCAGGAGGATCGTTGCAAGTTGGAGGCCAGCCTGGGCTACAAAGTGAGCTCAAGGCCAGCCTGAACTGCATCGCGAGACCCTATCTCCAAAACACAGAAAAAAAAAAAAAAAAAAAGAAGAAGAAAAATACATTTTACACAGGCAAAACCAAGTTCTGAGGGCCACAGCATAATTTACCCAAGGCCACTTGGATGTTAGCAGGGGTTTCCCAGGCTTAGTCACTTTCTGCTGCACCCAGATCGGGGCGGACGCAGCCGTATCCAGAGGTGCGCATGTGCTAAAGGTGTTCAGGGGTGGCCACATGCCCGCTACACCCCCTACCCAGTGAGCTGGGGCTCCAGGGTATGGCTTCTGTTTCTGCCGTAGCTCTGCCCTTGACTTCCAAACCTGCCTCTCAGCCCTCAACCTCCTTCTCTGCCACACCCCCAAGCCTCTGGGCCTCCCCTATGTCCCCTGCAGCCTCCAGCACCAGGGTGTAGAGCCCACCCAGCCACCTCCCTGGAGATTCTGGCTCTGGCAGGGGCCCTTTCTCAGCCTCAGGGCTCTCTAGGAGAGGAAGCGCCCTCCTGGTAGCCTCCTCCTGGCAGTTCTACCAGGGAACTGTATTTAAAAAAACGTATCTGCCCCTCATCCCCAGAAATTCAGATTAAGCAGTCTGGGATGGGATCCTGACTTCAATATTTTTCTTAAATTCTACAAGTGCTAAAAAAAAAAACAACAAAAAAAAACACCCAAAGTGCTGGGCCCGGTGGCGCTTCCCTATAATCCCAGCTACCTGGGAAACTGAGGCAGAAAGATCGTAAATTTGAGATCACCCTGTCTCAAAACAAAAAAGAAGAAGGCAAGACCTCTGCAAAAATCGTCCTGGGCAGTGGGAAGGAGACCACGGCACCCCACCCCAGTGAGAGTCAGCCCCACGAAAGACTCTCTAGGCCTGGGAGGGCTGGGGCACAGCTGGAAGCCACCAACGAGGGGGCAGCCAGAGGGCAGCACCCGCAGGTGCTAAGAGGTGGTAAAGGCCTTCCCTGTGTCCCCTCATCTGATCTTCACCTCACCCCATGTGGAGGCCCAGAAGAGACCCTCATGACGCTGCAGGGACACCGAGGCTGGGGCACAGGCACACCTTGACCAAAACCACCCCCAACGCCTGCATGGTCCCAGCACCCCTAGACAGCCAGCTTCTTAACCTTCATCTCAGCTTGTCCTGGGGACCTGGACAGGAGGGGGTGAGCATCACCCTGAGGGACAAGTGAGGGACCTGGACTCAGGTGGAGGCCTTGGGAGGGCTGGGGGCTGCAGGGTGAGTCCTTGGTGACCTGGGCGAGGGACCCCTCTGAGAAAACTAGGGACCAGAAAACACTACGGTCCCTGCAAGGCCTCCAACCCGGGAAGAAAGCTCCACTCCGCCATGAACTGAGGCCTCAGCTCTCTGCAGGAGAGAGTGGCGGCCACAGAGCTCACCAGCACCACAGCTCACCATGGACAGGACAAGCCCCGTCAGGTCAGGGGCACCCTGGGAAAGCGTCAGGAATGAGGGGGTAAAGGGACACCTTCTGCCTGCAGTAGGGGAGGGGCAGAAGGTAGCACTGGCCACCCTGCCAGGCAAGGCCCGGGGTCTGCAGCCAGGACCCTGCCCGCAGCTCCAAACTCCAGGAACTGCGAAGGTATATGGGGGGAGGGGGGTCACCCTCCCTTGCTGGAGAAAACTGGGTCCCCTGGGATGGGGTGGGATGGGGAGGATCCCACCTGCCAGCCTGGTAGATAGAACCTGTTCACAGCAAGAGTCCCAGACCTGTACACAGCCCTTCCCAAGCGCCCCTGCAGGGCACCGGCCTCACCCAGCACCCTCCGCAGAGCCCAGGTGCTCAGGGGAATGGGGTGTGTGCAGGGATGAGGAGGAGAGAGAGAGAGAGGGAGCAGCCCTCTGGTGTGGCTCCCCACTGCTACTCCCTCCCCTTCCTGGCAGCTGGGCCAGAGGGGGGGGGGCAGGGAGGTGGGGAGGGGAGCGCTGTGAGACCCCCCACCCTGCGTTCTCGCTGGGCCCCTCTCCTTCCACAGCACCCCTCCCCCTCCGCAGCACCCCTCCCTGCCCCAGGGGTCTCAGGCCCAGTCCCAGGCCCAGCAGGGAGCGGGGAGGTCCTTCCCAGGAGAGGAGGGACCACGGGGTGGAAGGATGAGCGGGGACCCACCGGGAGAGAGATGCGGGCAGACAGGCAGCGGGCGGGCAGCAGCGGGCGTTGGAGACCGCTCTTGGGCGGCTGGGACGCGACTGGCTGGATGCTCGTCCCTCCGTCCCTCTGTCCATCCAGGGCGGCTCCTCTCCGGGCGGTTCTGAGGCCGGGCGGGCGCTGTTAAAAAGCTTTTTATGTGTGTGTGTGTTAATCACATGATTGCCGTTCACCTGTATTTCGAACAAAGACAGCTCACTGTTTCAAGGCCCCGAACAAGAGTCTGGGCACAGGGAAGAGAAGGGAGGCGGGAGGGAGGAGGGTTGGCAGCGCCGGGGGTGGCGTCGAGGAAAACTGGGGGGAGATTGTCCAAGGCCAGCAAGCAAGAGAAAGAGAAAACCCTTATCAAACTCCTAATTCACTGGGCTCCGCGGCCCCAGACACACTGGCCCGATTGTCTGGCTGGTTGTGTGTGCGCGAGCATGTGTGCGTGTGTTCTGATGTCCGCCACCCCCCAACATGCCTTCGCCTGGTGTGACTACCTCATTGTGTCCCGATACCCGCCCCCTCCGGCCCCGGGCCTTCCCGAGCAGGAGGCCTTGCCTGTGGGACCCCCGTCCAGCCCCAACTCCACGCCAACCCCCCCTGGGCTGGGCCCGGGGCCGCGCCCAGCTGCAGAGGAACTGGGACCCACACGTGGTCACCAGCACTGCCCAGGCTCCTCCGGCCGTCCCTCCACATGCACCCTGTCTTTGCCTTCCCTGGGAAGAGAGAGGGGCTGTGACCTTTGGCGGTGAAACCTAGGAAAGGGGAGAAAAGAAGGAGCTGCGGGGTGATGGGCAGGGAAGGGAAGCGGCGGAGGGGAGGGCCGGGGAGGGAAGCCTGACCCAGCGCTGCTGCCAGCCCCTCTAGGGGACTTTGTGACACCCAGGACTGTCCCCCTGCTTCCAAGAGGTGAGCCTAGTGATGATGGAGGTACCCCAAGAAGCATCACCAGGAAGGCCTCTGAGCCCTACAGGACCCCAACCTGTCCCACCTCGGCTTCCTGTGCGAGCTTCCTGGCTCTGGGTGTCTGGAGAGAAGGGACCAGGGCTGGAGCTGGGGTAGCCACGCTGGGCAGGGGTGTCCAGCTGCCTCTGGCTCCGCAGATGGGAACATGAGCTCCAACTCCTGCTGCATAGCTTGGGGTGGCTAAGGCCGGGGCTGTGGGGACAACCGGGCCATAGCAGTGCCTGACACGCAGCAGGCACTGGACAGTTTCTTAAAGGAAGCAACACAGTTCTGCCACCCCCACGGGTCATGAGACCTTCACCTGCCTTCTCTGTCCAGCCCTTTGCCAGCTGCCCCTCTCACCACCTGAAGCAGAGGTTGGGGGGGTCCCTGATTTTCCTCTACGCAACAGGTCCCACCCTTGCCGCTTAGGTCCCTTCCTTGCCTGGCCTAATCACCCCACTCCTATGCCTGCGGCCCAGACCCAGGCCGGGCCGAGGATATGGGCCTGGGCAGCAGTAGGGAGGCTGGGGGGGCCTGGGCGGGGTGGAGGAGCCCTGGGTGTTGGGGATGAAGGCGATCGCTGGAGGCTCCACCTTCTGCCCTTCCCTCCCTCTCTCCCCCTCCCCCTCCCCCTCCTTCCTTCCCCAGCCCTCCGCAGCAGCTCAGTCGCTCAGTCAGTCTCAGGCTGTCCGGCCAGGGTGGTTGGTGGCGAGGATTCAGGCTCCGTCCCAACGAGGCCGTGGCCTGAGGCTCAGGGCCCCCCAGCCCCTCCCTCCCAGCCCAGCAGCGTCACCCCCCAGCCCCGAGCTGGACCGCACACCTTGGGACACGGTTTTCCACTTCCTAAGGACGAGCCCCAGACTGGAGGAGAGGTCGGAGGAGGTGAGTGCGGCCAGGCCTGGGCCCCTCGCTTGGGGTGGGAGAGGCTGACACCCCGGGCCAGGAACGCGCCCCCCACCCCGCTCCCCTGGATCCATGGGGTGGGTGGAAGGGAGGAATGAGAGGTGAGAGAAAAGGTGGGAAATTCCAGGGGCCAGGATTAGAGCAGAATAAAGGGTCCGTTTTTCTTCCTTTCCATCAACAAACCTCCACCCAAAAGGAGGTTTATTAAAAAAAAAAAAAAAAAAAATCCCACCTACACCCAGAGACGGTTGGGACTGGGGTGGGAGGACGCGGAGGAGGAGGGACGCGCCCACCAGGGGTCTGGCATGTGCGAGGGCCCAGGCAGAGCGGTGCAGCGGGAGCAGGGAGGCCGACACTTCGGGACTGCGCGGTGTCGCGACCCGGCGCCCTCGGGCCGCGCGCACCACCGCCCATCGCGCCCTCCTTCCCTCCCGTCCAGGTGGGCGTTGGGCTCTTTGCGAGGACCCCGGCGGCGGGCCCGGGGGAGGCGGCCGAGGCGGCGGCCGGGGGCGACATGGCCGAGGAGCAGGACCTGTCGGAGGTGGAGCTAAGCCCCGTGGGCTCCGAGGAGCCCCGCTGCCTGTCCCCGGGGAGCGCTCCCCCGCTGGGGCCCGACGGCGGCGGCGGCGGTGGCGGCTCTGGCCTGCGAGCTAGCCCGGGGCCCGGCGAGCTGGGCAAGGTCAAAAAGGAGCAGCAGGACGGCGAGGCGGACGACGACAAGTTCCCGGTGTGCATCCGCGAGGCCGTCAGCCAGGTGCTCAGCGGCTACGACTGGACGCTGGTGCCCATGCCCGTGCGCGTCAACGGCGCCAGCAAGAGCAAGCCGCACGTGAAGCGGCCCATGAACGCCTTCATGGTGTGGGCGCAGGCGGCGCGCAGGAAGCTGGCGGACCAGTACCCGCACCTGCACAACGCCGAGCTCAGCAAGACGCTGGGCAAGCTCTGGAGGTGAGCACCCCGCGCGGTCCCAGCTCCGGCCCCACTTCGGGGTTCGGGCTGGCCTGAGGCGGCCCAGCCTCCTGACCCCGGGGCGGGGATCGTTGGGCCACTCGACCCCTGGGGAGACCAGGCTTGGGGGACGCGCCCGCCCATCTGCCATAAGTAGCCTCTTGGGGTTTCCTGGCTGCGCACCCCGGAACTCAGCCCTGCAGCGGCCTGGGCCCAGCCTCCCCACCTGGGGGGCCGGGCGGGAAGGCGCCCCCTCGCGGCTGGAATTCTGCTGTTGGTGGCGGGTCGTGGGGCCACTGCGCTACAGGAGGGATGGGCAGGCTTCGCGCCAGGGGCCTACTGACTGTGCTATATCCGCACCCACTCAAGGGTGCCCGCGCCACCAGTGCCAGAGCCAGGGGCATATGGCGGAGACGCTCCGAAAAGAACCCAAGGCCTGGCTGGAGATGCTGGGAAACTGAGGCAGACAGATGGAGAACTGAGGGGAGCTTCCAGGAAGACAAGGAACTCAGAGGGGCCTTGGGAGTGACAGGAGGAACTGCCCGCCCTGCCCCGCAGGGCCTCCTCTGCCCCAGCTGTCTTCTAGGCCTCCCCCACCCCACCCTCCTGGGCTGAGGGCTTCTTCATTCCCAGTAGAAGGGACGCACAGGAAGAGGCCTCTCCTGCCGCCCTGTCCCAGAACCTCCAAGCTGCTCTCCACGCCTTCCCTCTCCCAGTTGGGCGCCATCTTCCCTCTCAGGCCCCACCCAGTGTTGAGCAACCTCTCCCCCCTGCCCTGGGCTGGTGTGGAGCTGCTCTCCAGGAGGAAGCCTCGGTCCCTTTCCTACAGGGTCTAGAGTCCCAGGCTGCCCAGTAGCCCAAGCTTCTGGGGAAGCAGCCCCCCGGGAGGAAGTCTCAAGGCTGACTGGGGCTCAGGCTCACCCCCTGGGGAAGTGTGGATGGGGCACTCCTACCCCCACCCCAAAAGTTCCAGGGCAGCTGCCTAAGAGAACCGGGGTTCAGCCGATGCCAGCCTGAGAGGTCACCTGACCTCCTCTAGACTGGCCCAGAGAGGCACTGCAAAGGTCACATAGCAGTTGGCAGAGCCAGGCCCAGAGCCAGGTCTCCCACCTCAGAGTCAGAGGTCTTCCCTCCTTGTTTCCGGTGACAGTCGTGGGTCACTCCTCACTGTAAGAGTGGCCAGGAGATGGTGAGGGTTGGGGCAGAGAAGAAGCGGCAGAAGAAGGCATGGCTAGGTTTGAGGAAGTCTGGGGTCTATCCCAGGAACCTGCCCCCTCCTGCCCCTCCTTCGCTGCCCAGTATGGTGGAGCTGGGGTCCAGAAGCCAAAGGCTGGAAGGACCAGGAGGGTCCCCAAGAGACCAAGAGATGTGCACCCAGCCCCAGCCTGCTCTTGATATGTGCTTGTAAAGGCCCAGGGCCCCTCCCCAGTCCTCTCACCTGAGCCCTGGCTCCCAGAGCTGTGTGGGCCGAGAGAGGCCAGCTCTGCCCAGGAGCAGAGGTGGTGGCCAGCTGCTTTGGCCAGGGTCCCTCCAGATGGGGGAGGGATGAGGAGAGCGCCCCCCCCCCCCCGTCACCAGTGCCTTGGAGGCTGTGGGACAAAGAAAAGCTAAAAGAACCAGACAAGCAGCAGAGCGACTGAGCAAGCACACAGAGCAGCCCCTGGGGACCGTGATCACAGAGGGGAAACAAGAGTGGACCCCGCTCCCACCCCCTACACTGCTGAGGGTTTAGGATGGGCCCCTCTGTTGTGCCTGTCCCAGTTCCCCCAGCGTGGAACCATGGATCTGGGCCCAGTTTAGGAGGACTTGCTCCTGGCCAGCACTTAGGGGTACCCAAAGGGCTGCTCCTCGACAGGGCAGTCAGCAGAGCCAGCCCTGCTGGCTGAGGACCCAGCCGGAGGGTGCAGGCGGCAGGACAGTGGCAAGGGCCCAAGGCTGTGCCGATAGGTGATGGCTACCTGGGCCCAGCTATGGATCCTAAGAGATTCTGGGATGTGGGCTGGCCGGCCAGTCACTCTAGGGGCTTCTCCTGAATGCCCCCTCCCAAGCTCTGACCCTGGGCCATCAGGAAAGCGGGAAAAGTGGGTTCTAAAAGTACACAGCCAGGCCAGCAGCCTGGGGAGTGCTGCGTGCAGGCTGGGCCAGAGCACCGCAGTGCAGAGCTAAGTGGCTGTGTGAGCACCACCAGGCACCCTGACCTCCGGTGCCACCTGGGAGGAGCGCTGGATGCCGATCCCACGGGTGGTGGGGGTCGGCCAGCCGCCTGGAAATCAGCACCAGCGCCAGGAAACTGGAAAGAGGTTGCAGACTGGAGCCTTCCCCGTGTGGCGGTGCTCAGCCAGCCCCCCGTCAGGCCCACAGGCCCTGTCCCCAGGTAGTCATCGCATGCCACTGGCCTGACAGGAGGACACATGTGGCAGGAGCCAGTGTCCCACTGGGAGCCCCCGCTGGGGTTTCCAGGTTGGGTGGAGAACCAGCGCCTCCTCATTCTGACCTGGACCTGGAAGGAAGAGGGCAAATGAGAACTGCACTGGGGTGGCACGGTGTGTGTGTGAGGGGTGGCAATGCCAGGGGGTGCTGGCGGGAGTCAGGGTTCACTATGGGGTGGGTGGGATGGGGTGAGGAGAGACGAGCGTACAAGGCTGGGGTTGGGGTGGAGGTAGGGTTGCAGCTGCAGCTGGTGGGTAGGGCTGAGGTTGGGGTTGTAGGTGGGGTGGCTCCCAGCCCTGGGTTAGGTTCCCGTTAGGGTCACAGCACTGCTGATAACTGTGATAGTTGGAGAGGCGACGGTGGGACCGAGTGTTGGAATCTGCCCTCCTGCCACTATACATACATGCTCATATGTGCACACATGCACGCACACGCTCACACACACACATACCACCACCACCACCACTTTCTTGCTGATTGCTGGTTGCCAGCTGGGCAGGGGGCCCTGGGAAGGGTCAAGGTCAGGAACCCGGCTCAGGGTCGCCAGCGACACTGGCATGGGGGGCTATGCTGTGCCCTGCAGTTTTCGCCAGGACAGGCACCTGTATCTGGGCCCCTGACTCCTCGCCCCACTTTGGGTCTCCATCGCAGGCACTGAAGGTGGACACGGTCCCTGCTGGCATCTTGCTCAGCTAGACGGCCCTTCGGAGAAAGCTGGGTGGAGGCGGAGGGCAGGCAGGGAGGCTAAGCTGCAGAGGAATGCTGGGCCAGCGAGGAGGCGCCTGGTATGACCACCCCCTCCTGGTCCTGTCCAAGCCGGGCAGCCTCTGCCGCCTGGGGGAGAGGGCCGCTGGGCACAGGGGTGGGGCAGCTGGAGAATGCTCCCCCCAGGACCAGGCCACTGCCACAGGGCACTGCTGGGCTCTGTCGGGGAGCCCAGGAATTCATATCCCTTCCCTCAAGACCTCTGCAAGAGACCCTCTTCCCCCTGGGAGGCCTTCTCCAACCCTGGCCTGAGGCTGGGGTCCCGGGAGCAGGGCCACCACCCTCCCTCAGTGGGCTGAGCTCAGGGACTGTCCCAGGGCTGGGGGGAGGCTCAAGCGCCCTCTGCCCTTTGTCAGTCCCTGGACAGAGCACAGGAGAGAGTGCCCCCCATGATGAAAGGGACACACACCCAGCCCCACTCAGTCCCACCACACTGGAGCTCACAAAAACGGTATCCTGGATTCGGGGGCCACTCCTAGGTCTTCCTGTCCAGTACCCCCAGCCCAACAGCACTAGAATAGCACCTATTTCTCAGGGGGCCCCACACCCCAGTGAAGTAGACATTATCATCCTCATTTTATAGGTGAAGAAACTCAGGCTCAGAGAAGTAACTTGCTCACGGTCACACACACAGCTAGTAAGTAGCAGAGACCGGTCTCATTCCCCAGCAGCTGCTTCTCTGCTTGCACACCTCCAGCCCCAGGGAGCTCACCCCCTAACGAGGCAGCTAGTTCCACTTGCAGACAGCTTTGGTAAGGAGAACGTTTTTCCTTTCCTTGAACTCATATCTGCCCCTTGTAACTTCTGTGTCTACTTCTAAACCCATGATGGGGGCCTGGCTCCTCTCACCCTCCAGCCCCTGAGAGATTTGCGGGCAGAGATCCCAGCCCTCTGGGGTGCATATCTTCCAGTCCATAAGCACAGGGCACAGTCCCCACTGGCCCTCTGTCCATCTAGGGTCCTCCGGGGCCTCCTGGCTTGCAGGGCTGACACTCGGAGGGAGGCCAGTGGGGTGCCCTGGCACTCACGCCAGCTCTGATGTCCTCCCTGCCACCCACCCCAGGCTGCTGAATGAGAGTGACAAGCGACCCTTCATTGAGGAGGCCGAGCGGCTGCGAATGCAGCACAAGAAGGACCACCCGGACTACAAGTACCAGCCCCGGCGGCGGAAGAACGGGAAGGCGGCCCAGGGGGAGGCCGAGTGCCCGGGTGGGGAGGCCGAGCAAGGAGGGGCTGCTGCCATCCAGGCGCACTACAAGAGCGCCCACCTGGACCACCGGCACCCAGAAGAGGGCTCCCCCATGTCCGACGGGAACCCCGAGCACCCCTCGGGTGAGTGCTGGCTGGGAGCCGCCAGGGTGTGGAAGACAGAGCTGGGGTGGGAGCGGCTGGGCAGTGGCGAGGAGAGGGGATCCTGATGCCCCCAGGAGCCCTGGGCTCTGGGAAGGCCTTGCCGGGCTCTGCCATTGCCCCAGCTGGGATGCAGGGACACAGGGGGAGCTCGGTGGGGACTCTGGTGCGGGGGAGGTGGCCGGGCAGGACGGCACGGGCCAGGGCTGCTGCAGAGGTGCTGAGTGAAGACAGCCAGGTCAGGAAGCCGTGGAGGCTGTCGGCTGGGAAGTGGCTGCAGCCATCTGAGGAAGGGGGTGCAGGGTGATCTTGAGAAATAGGAGAGCAAACGGAGGACAGGAAACCAGTGCACTGCCCGCCTCCCGCCCTGATGGGGCCGCGCATGTGATGCTGAGTGTATGTCATCCATGGGCAGACACAGGATGTCTTACGTAATGCTCGTTAACAATAATCAGAGCTAACATTGGTTGAGCACCTACTGTGTGCCAGGCACAGTGCCCATGGCCTCATACGCAGAGTCCTTCAGTCCTCCAGTCAGCCCTGAGCAGTGTGGTGGGTGCCCACCTGCTGGGCTCCAGCCTCAGCTGTGTGCAGGTCACTGTCACCTTAGAGAGGAGGAAACGGAAGAACCATGCAGCTGAGGTCAGAGGCCAGGCAGTTGGGTTCTTGGGTCTCTGCTTGGCCTACACTGCCTTGCTTAAGTCCCTGACGCACAGAAAATGCTGTGCTCAGGTCTGGTACACCGGAAGAACTTGGGGCACTGCCCAGAAGATACAGTGGGTCCTACTTTGTCAGACATGGTGGGATCCCCAGGGTTACCTCCAAGAAGAGCCCACAATCCCCAGGAGGAGCAGGGATGGAAGCAAATGAACTATATATAGGAAGAAACAAGTACAGGGGAAGCCTTAGCTGGAAGTGGTGTCCTCTAGGCAGGAGCCACCCACCTGTCCACCTGGTCAGACTGCCGAAAACAGCTGACTACCAGCTGCAGTCAAGGAGGGCTTCCAGGAGGCAGTGTCTGTGCTGCTTGGTGTCTCCTCTGTCTTACTGATAAGGACATTGCTTGAGACAAGCTGGGGGTGGGGGTGTATGCCTGTGTCTGAGGCAGGAAGATTGAAAGTTCAAGCCTAGCCTGGGCAACTTAGCAAATTAGTGAGACCCTGTCTCAAAGTTTAAAAAAAAACATTCAGTGCAGGACTCAGCACTGCTTCTGGTCTGATGGAGGAGGCATAGCCTGCCCTACAGGGCTCCTGGTCTGTAGGACTTTGGACCAGTCTCTCATGGGATGCCCACTGACGCCATCCCGCCACACAGCTGTCCTCCCTACCTTCAAAGGTCTTGCAGGGATGCACGTGTGCACACATGCGCGCACACATGCGCAACCTAGACCATGTGCAGAAACACCACCACCCGGAGTGAAACCGTGCGTGTGGACTTTTTCTCCTCCTTCAAGCCCCCTCCAGACCCTTCCTCAGGGAGACTTTCCCACAGTGCTAGGGCAGGAGGAAGCCGCCTCCTCCAGTCTCCTGAGTCTTTGCATGTCCCGCTGTAGGCACGGGTGGGTCTCTCATCTCTCCAGGCTATGAGTTTTTGAGGACGGAACTGCGATGTATTTGTTTGTATCCACAGCACCTGGGCTAGTGCCTGGCATGCAGCACTGCCCCTTGGGTGAATCTGCTGAATGAATGTGTAGATGAGAAAGGAAACAAAGGCACAGGGATCTCAGTGTCCTCCTGAACAGCTCAAGGGCCAGCAAAACCAGTATGATGGAGCTGGGCATGGTCAGCAGGGTGGGCAGTGGGCAGGATGGGGCAGACAGTGGGGTGGGAGGGCACATGGCATGGTCTGGGGGACCTGGGCAGGGAGCAGGCACAGGGAGACAGACGGTCCAGAGCACAGAGGGTAAAGCAGGCTCAGCAGGGAGAGCAGAGACTGAGGGTTCCCTGAGAGCAGACAAGGACAGGCCCTGGGCCACACTCCCCGGGGTCAGCAGCTACGGGGCAGCAGGAGCAGGAAGGATGGGGTGACGGAGCCCACAGGAGGCAGGAGGCAGGACCCATTCCAAGATCTGAGAGAGTTTCATCAACTAGAGACCAGTGGGTAAACAAATACCAACCATAAAAGATAGAGGATAGAAAAGAAAAGAACCCCACCAACTTGTTCACCACACATGTAAACCAGAAGGTCAGCAGACCTCACTTCCCGGTGCTCACCTCCTGACTGTCTCCCCTTGCTCTTCTCTGTCTCCCTCACCCAGGCCAGAGCCATGGCCCACCCACCCCTCCAACCACCCCAAAGACAGAGCTGCAGGCGGGCAAGGCAGACTCCAAGCGGGATGGGCGCTCCCTGGGGGAGGGCGGGAAGCCTCACATCGACTTCAGCAACATGGACATCGGTGAGATCAGCCACGAGGTCATGTCCAACATGGAGACCTTTGATGTGGCCGAGCTGGACCAATACCTGCCGCCCAACGGGCACCCGGGCCACGTGGGTAGCTACTCGGCAGCCAGCTATGGGCTGGGCAGCGCCCTGGCTGTGGCCAGTGGACACTCTGCCTGGATCTCCAAGCCGCCGGGTGTGGCTCTGCCCACAGTCTCGCCTCCTGGCGTGGATGCCAAAGCCCAGGTGAAGACAGAGACCGCAGGCCCCCAGGGGCCCCCGCACTACACCGACCAGCCGTCCACCTCACAGATCGCCTACACCTCCCTCAGTCTGCCGCACTATGGCTCCGCCTTCCCCTCCATCTCCCGCCCCCAGTTTGACTACTCTGACCATCAGCCCTCGGGACCCTATTACGGCCACTCGAGCCAGGCCTCTGGCCTCTACTCGGCCTTTTCCTACATGGGGCCCTCTCAGCGGCCCCTCTACACGGCCATCTCTGACCCCAGCCCCTCAGGGCCCCAGTCCCACAGCCCCACACACTGGGAGCAGCCGGTATATACGACGCTGTCCCGGCCCTAAAGGGAGTCCTGTCACCGCCAGCCCCATCCCCCAGCCTTGTGTCCTGTTCCTCGCTGTCCATCTCAGCCTGACGGCGGCAGGGGAGGAGGCTCCAGAGGCTGACAGCAGAGGGGCAGCGTTCTGCCAGCTCCCTGCCCTGATGACCCACTGCCCGATCCAAGTTCCAGAGGCCCAGCCCTGGCTGACAGCTGGGCGGAGGAGAAGGAGGGTGATGGCTGCCCCTCCCCCAGAGATGACCCTCTATCCCAAGGCCTAGGAAGGACCCGCTTGATCCTCGGGGAGGGAAGCAACATCCGGGCTTGGGTGGGCATCGGAGGTCTTGCCACTTCTGTTGCCCGCCCCCCCATGGGGAGCACGGGTCTGGTGGGCCCCAGTGCCTAAGAGCTGTGGCACCCAGGGACTTGCATCAGAGCCTGGAGCTGCCTGTGTCGCTCAGGTGCTGGAGACAGCTCTGAGCACCCCCTGGGAGGGGCTCGGGGGAGCTCTCAGCCCTTCTAGGCCCCTCCCCTCCTGAATGCAGGAAGACACGGGCACACAGGCCCCCAGCCCCAGTTCTGCGCCAATAACCTCATTGTCTGTCTGAGGTGAGCCTCCGGCGCCCCGTCCTCACTCCTACACCTTAAGGCAGCCCAGCTGAGGAGGCAGGGGGGCTCCAGGAAAGGATTCAGAGACAGTTTGCAGAGCCTTTCTCCTGGGGCTCCGGGCCAGTGTCCCTCTCCTCACTCGACTCTGCCAGGGCCACCTCCCTGCTCCAGAGCTCAAGCTGCAAACTATGCAGGCCCAAGTCCTTGGCTCCAGGAGGAGATGTGGGGCCCAGCGCCCAGGCTGCGGGCAGCAGCTCAAGACACTAAGATCCTGCCGTGTACATTCCACCCTTGCCTTCCGCCCCTTGCGTCCCAGTGATATCCGAATAAAGTATGTAGCTCTTATCTGCCCCCACTCTCCTGTTCTCCTGTGGCCCCACCGTCCACATGTAACGCATTACTGTCCCCCCTTATTTATCTCAGTAGCCCCCTTTCCCCTCCCTGTCCTCGCTGCTCCAGCCCCTATTAACTCTGCATTAAGCCTCCAAGTAATAAAATTAAAGGTTCCGGTTACCTGTGTGGTGGGCCTGGCCTGGCCTGTCTCTCGGTCTCTTGTCTCAGCCCTGTGCTTCCTCAGAGGGTTTCTGCAAGTAGTTAGGAGGAGGGTACAAAGGAGAGATAGCCCAAGGGTCTCTCTCTCCGGGAAGGACATGGGGACAGGGCAGGGGTGCCTTGCACAGGAGTAAAGCTTCCCTAGCCCTCTTCTCAGGCCAGCTGGGCCTCGCTGCCCATCACTCACACGGTAAGGTGGAATCTGCCAAGAATTCGAGGGACAGGTGTTAGGGAGGGGGAGGGGGGCGACTACCATTAGCTGTCAGGCCTGTCCCTAAAATATGTGTGGTGGGCACCTGCCTATAAGCCCAGCCCTCGGGAGGCTGAAGCAGGAGGATCATCACGAATTCGAGGCCAGCCTGGGCTACATAGCCAGACTGTCTCAAAAAAATCAAAACATGTGTGATGTGCAGATGGAATGTACTGCCACCTCCCGTGTGTGCGCACACGCAGGTGTACAGGCCCTGGCCCATACCAGGGCCTAGCTGAGCATTCCCACCACAGCCTGTCTGGGTCTAAAGCAGAGGATGTGCAGCGTTGCCCCTCACTCCTGAAGAGCTCTGTCCTCATAATGGCCACATCACGAGCACCTAACCCAGGGACAGACGCCCTCCTCACCCCCGCTGTACTGATGGGCAGCTCGGATGGCTGGAAGCGATGGCGACCAAAAGGGCTATCATGCATTACACAATCCCGGGTCAAGGAGCCCCGTGTTCCATGTTTGTCATTCAGGGTTCTGAGGGGCATGTTCCATCCTTATTTCCCACTTCCCAACTGAAGCTCTGGGAGGTTGGATCTCAGAATCACTAGCTCTGGAGTCTAAACCTAGCCTGACACCAAAGCTTACACTGTGGAACATCCTCCCGCCCTCCACCTGCGCTGGGTTCAGAGACTCTACTTCCGCTTCCGCTGCGAAACTTAAATCTTCTACTGCTGTAGACTGAGCATCTCCCTCTCCCATCTGTGGCCTCCAGCACCCTACCTCCTGGTCAGGGCCAGGGCAGGGGGGACACTGGGAACTAACTCAGTCCCCCCAGGGTGGCAGGACCCCTCCATCTGGAAGCTGCGTCCAACAACCTCCTCGGGCCACCTCCCCAAAGCTGCTGGCTCCAGGAAGCTTGGTGACTGAAAGCCCAGCTCTTTCAAACAATGTCTGCTGTGAATCTGACCACCCAAACTGTATGTAAGCTGCTTATGATGTTTTCTTTTCTCATGAAGGCAGGATTTTATTCTGATCACTAACACACTGTCTTGTTGAATTTGACCCATTTACCTACCTATATTAAATCTTGGAACCTCGCTGTCCTCCAGAATTTTATGGAATTTTTTAGTCCTCATTAAGTCACTAATAAAGGTCATAACTAAAAGGGACAGGGCCCTGGGTATACCATTAAGTACCTCTCCCCAGCAGTTCTCTTCTCTGTACTTAGGCACAGGCTGTCTAATGAGTTTGGACAGTACCTCGTTACCTCACCATCAACTCCCCACTTCTCCACCCATCACAGCTGTCGGGAGACTGCCTGGACCAAAATCAGGAGTCACTGATCTGTGGCATTCCCTAGACTTAGAAAAGCAGAAGCCGCTGGGGAGAAAAGAGATGGATGCACTACTGAATCCTCTTAGGAACCATGCTGGCTTCTGGACCTCCACTTGATCGTCTCAGTGCTGGCAAACATGAAATAACCTATTCTGGAATTCCGACATGGATCTGTCAGTGCTGACCTTCTACACTCCTAAATTTTACCTCTCACCTTCCCCTTATTGAAAGGCGGGACACTGTCCACTTCTGATCTGTTCACAGCTCCTGCTCTCAGGGGCACCATGGACAGTTAACAGGGTGGAGGGCCAGGGGGCATCTAGCTGAAACCACCACCTCCAGGACCCTGCACCTCGTAAGACTGGGTGTGGAGGTGAAATGGCACCAGGAAAGGACAAAAAACCCCGGGACGTCAGAAGACCTGGGCTGTGTGCTTCCCTTGACAAGAGGCGTTCAGACCTCGGTGCTGTAGTAGCTCCACTTGCAATGAGGAGCAGGTGTTTCTGGAAAGGACTGTGGAGCCGAGGCCCAAACTGTAAGGGAACACACGCCCGACAGTGGTAGCAGGTGATTTATATTCAAGAGGTCAGGCCCAGGCCTGGGCAGCTGAGCAAGGGGCTCCCCGAAGAGGAGCAGAATGGGAAGGGGGAGGTGAGAGCGAACACACCCTTCCTCCCATTTCCTTACACCCTATCCCCAAAGGGTTAACCCCCCTCCTCTCCCGCCCAAGCCCCATCTCCCTTTAATCACATCTGATACTGAGCGGCCCAGCAGGGAACAAAGGAACCATTTAGAGAAATGGGGCCGAGAAAGTGACCCCCGCACTCTGGGGCGGCTGCCTGGATGCCAGCACAAAGGCGGTGTTTCAGAGCTGAAATTTCAGCACCCAACTTGATTAAAGGATTCCACAGGCTCGGAGGAGGGTGGCAGGGGTGCGAAGTCCACCCTCCCTGATTTAACCCTTCTCCGCAGCAGCCAGCACCCTCCCAGCCTCAGGCCACTCATCCTTCCTGCCTCATCCAGGTGCCATCCCAGCAGGCACTGCCTCCTACAGGCCGGGCGAGCCTGGCTCCTCCTCCTCCTCCTCCCCCTTGGCAGGCAGCTGGCAGCGGAATGGAGGTCAGGTTGGTATATTTGGGAGCAATCTGCCGTGCCATCTATGCTGGTGTCCACATCCATCCTCTCCCTGTCTCCAGAAGAGGGAGGAGCCAATGTGACCGTCCTCCTTTAGCAGGGTAAGCAGGGTAGAGAAGCCCCAGACAGAGAAGGGGAGCTCCTTGGCTGAACCCAGGGGCGCGGCATCCAGGCGCCCGCTCAGTCCAGGCCTGAGGACCACAGGCTGCCACGGGAGAGCAAGGACACTTTACAGGGCTGGGAAGGAGAGGGCACAGCTGTGCCGGGCCAGAGGTGGGCCACGCAGGGCAGTGGCGGCAGTGGCCTGAGGAGCGGGACGGGCCCGGGGGTGAGCAGGTGCTCAGTCCTGCTCCAGCTGCGGCCTGGGCTCTCCAGGGAGGGTGGGAGATCGCCACACCCCCGCGCTTCCTGCCAGGGCACTGCTCCTGAAAGGGGATCCGAGCCCTCGATAAGGCTCGAGGCAGGTCCTTAGGAAACAATGGGTGGCTTGATGAGACCTGCTCTGTGATACTCCTGAGAAGGGAGAAGCCCCTGTAGCCAGTCCCCACTGGAAAGGAAATTGGGGGTTTCCGTGGCAACCAGCTCCCTGGGCACAAAGACTCGTCTGTCTGCGGGGAAGGCAGCTGAGGTGTCTCCCCTGCAGCAGCCTTTGCTCTGGGGAGCGGGGACTCAGAGGGAGGGATGTGGGGGACCCACAGGGCCAAGGGCCCCGGTGCTTCTTAAAGAGCTGACAGTCACGGGGCCGTGGCGCTAAGTGCGTGCTCCAAGCAGCAGGTGGTGGCACTGCAGACAGCTGGAGGTGGAGAGGTCAGGGGTTAAGTAGTTTATTATATACAAGTATAAAGTGAGACTAGAAACAGGCGAGGGCGGGCCGGTAAGCTGTCTCCAGCTCAGTCAGTGATGATGAGCTCGTCCACCCCCCAGTCTTCATAGCTCCCGTCAGGCAGGTAGCGGCGAATGATGATGGGGATCTTCCGGGCCCTGTGTCGGGAGAAGCCAGTGTGTGAGGGCCGCGGCTCAGCAAGGCCCACCCCGCTCCCCTCTCGTCTTTCTCCTCCCTGCTGGCGCTGGCGGGGTGGCTCCTGGTGAGCCGAGTGCTAACATCCCCTGCCAGGGAAGCTCGGGACACACCGACGGGCCCTGATGCAGGGACTCACTTGAGCTCCTTCATGGCGATGAGCAGCGGGTCCGTCTCCCCCTCCAGCTCCACCATCACCGGGGCGCACATCCTGCAGGCACAGGGGATATGTGGAAGAGGATGGACCCCGGGCGGGGCTGGCACCCTGGTCCTACCCAGCAAAGTCACCTGCTATCTACCACGGGCCCGCCCGATGCACACAGATCTAAATCAGGAGCCAGCAAACTGGACTCCGATGTGCCTCTCACACAGGACACGGACCTCCTCTCCAAGTCTCAGTATTCCCATTGGAAAGTCAAGAAAACACTCAGCGCCCTGCCTGGCGGGATGCTAAAATCCCACTGCCTGATAGCACAGACTCACGAGGTACTGTCTGCCGTGCCGAGCTCTGTACCAACGTTTCCTCCTGTGAGTAAGTACTATTTTCATTTCCCTTTTACTGGTAAGGAAACAGGCACAGAGAGGCCAGTAATTTGCCCAAGGTCACACAGCCAGTAGTGGTACAGCCAAGATGTGGAGCCCACACGCCTCTAACCACTGTGCTATCACACTTGCCATGCAATAAGCTACGGATCTATAAACTAAAGAAAGGCGCTATGAATGGGACAAGCGTAAGCTTTCATCACGAGGCCACAAAGTAGCCACACATCAGCTCCCTGCCATGCACCTTCCCCGGCACCAACTGCAGGCAGAGCGCAGCAGCTGCAGCAGAGCACCCAGCAGAGGGGCCTCCGTTCTGCCGCTGCAGTGCCCAGCTGCCTCGCTTTCCCTCCCTAGCGTAGCACAGCCGAGCAGGGTTCTCTCTCTCCAGCCTCCAGCACTAGCTGTTCACAATCCTCCAGCGACTTCCCAGCACCGTCAGGCCAGAAGCCAGTCCCGGGTCACCCTTCTAGTACCTTTCCACGCTACTTCCCTATACCTGCCCACATTTAAGGTTCCTGGCGCTATGGTTTGAAAGTGTCCCCCAAATTTGTATGTCCTGAGCAGGGACGCTTGTTCCCTGTTGGGGGCTCTGCGATGTGACACCATAGCAAGAAAGTGTCCCCGGGGGCCGATGCTTTCCAGGTCCCAGCCTCCAGAACTGAGAGCCCAATGAGCTGAGCCATGTGACCTGGTCTCAGATACGCAGTCACATGAAACAGACCATGACACCCGGAT